TACTACTACTACTACTGCTACGACTGGCACCAGTAGTACTAGTCGAAGTACCACTACCACTAGACTCTGCCGCAACCCACGAAGTCCTGGTAGATCTGCATTGCCTCCTCAGCTGCAAAAACCGCCTCTGCGTAGGACTCGCGGAGCCTCACAGCAGCTCGCGAGGGCGCAAGTCCAGGTTTTGGAGCTTTTTGGGCGGATCCCCAAACCCGCGACTGTTGCGGAGATACCTTAGGTTGTTTGAGCTGTGACCTACTATCTCGATCTAGTTGGCAGGGTTTGGGGCTGCAGGCGGGGGAAGGGAAGCTACCGTGCTGCGAAAACTGCAGACCCCTAAATGATGTACAATACTGACTGTCAGACTCTAGCCGGGCATCCTGAGATACTAACAAGAGAAAGTACTCATCTTTCCACGGCATTGAAGGACTTGGGCTTAGTTTTTGAAACCCGGGAGAATCCGCCCTGCAATCGTGTCAGAAACTGGGTGCCGAAGCTAGCTTTAGATGCTGCTCAGCAAAAGCCTTGCTTTTCCCAAAGGCCACAAGTCAGCGTTCGTGTTGGGTTTAGGGTTTGCCGGTCCTTCGTTTGTGATATTCTGCTGTACATGCGACAAACCTTGCACATTGAACTTGTCAGGTTGTGTGCATCGTTGACATTCTAATCGCAGGGCCTCTGCCAACGAAGCTCCGTAGATTAGAACTGGTAATATGTATACCAGGTCTGCATTTCTCAAGGCGACTACTAGACACTAGAGGAAACAAGCTTCACCCCCCAAACACCCAAAGAATCCACGATGACTCAGCTCGCGGCATATGCACCGACGCTAGCTGGTGGAGTATACTGGCCTCCCACCTGCTGCGGATGTTGGACAGGGAACCTAGAATCCCTGGAACTGAACGATGCGCTAAGATTTGCAACGCTCAACCCAACCAAGTTCGCCACTCCAAACTCAAAGCCAACGCCACAAACCTAAAGGCCTGACTGCTACATGTAGAAACCCTTCACCCTCTGCTAAAGGAATATGCGATTAAAATATCTTGTGAGCACTATGAGACACTATGGTTTAAGCCATGCGGTCCTTGTTCGTTCGTCACCGTTAGTCAAAGGGTCAACTCCCTGGCCACTTGGGCATCCTGAACCCGAACGCAGAACCATAAACCCTGAACCTTAAAACCAGAAACATTGCCTTGTACCGAACCAGGAAACACAAGCCCTAAAGTCAAAGCCTTTATAACTTATAACCCGAAACCATAAGGTCATAAACTCAAAGCCAACAGCCATAACCCCTGAACCCCAGACCCGAAATCCTTTTCTAGCCCCAAACCTTGTTTCTGGCCTCGAGTCATCCAGGGATTGGATGATCTCTCGCGACTGCTCGATCAGCGGCACGGCTGACTCGTAGTCGCCTAAGCTGCTGTCAAGGACCTCTTGCAGGGCTTATGCCAAGGATTTGACGCTTCGGGGTTTTTCAGGGCTGAAGGTTGAGGGAGTTAGGGCTTCAGGGAATAAGAATTCAACAGGCCCGGATCCAGGTCGTCTTTCCCGAGAGCCCACCTTCCGAGCCGTCTGCAGAAGGCATGAGTCAAGTGTAGGTTTAACTCAATTCCCAACTCAAGCATCGATCCTCAACTTGCAACAGGCTTGACTAACTCGTGCACTTAGTGTTCAGGGTTGATCACGCCAAAGGCACCCTTGGCACAATGGGAGTTCGCCAGAGTGCTCAGGGACATGATCTGTCCTGCAGCGACACACCACAGCTTCCTGCTGACTTGACGGGCCTAAGTTCTGAAATGCAACATGGGGGCCTTACTGTGTGAGTGATTAGAATATACGTAGTCCAGTTATGGCGCTACTCTAGGGGAAATTATGAATCAATTTTGTTTCTTCGGCCCCCTATTCTGCCTAAATCCGCATGTGCTCAATTGTTGACATCTGCTCCTTCCTTATGTGGGAGGACCCCCGCCACAACAAAGCCTGATTCCTGCAACCTGCACGAGCCTCAACATCCCGAGTAGCACGGAACATCTAAACGCAGGGAAGTCTCAAGCCCGAACAGCCTCCGAAACATGGTTCCCTGTTGGGGCTTTTTTAAGAATGATCATTTTTAATCCTTATTGGCTTGTATTACAACAACAATGTAAAATTGTATCCAACAAGGACCCAGAAACCCTAGGAACCTGAAACAATGCCAGGTTTTCAAACGCAGCCTCGGCTCAACCCCTTGTCTGGCAACAGCGCCAAAATCGGTGTTTAAGGTTCCAGGTGAAGGGGGGAGTTTAGGGTTTAAGACCATGTTGACTCTTGTCTTGGCTTTGGGTTTTTTGTGGTTTTCGTGTCCACCTCGCATGCGCAAGACTGCACATCAGGACATGCCTCCTGTGATTCCCTAAGCCAAAACCCCAGCGGCAAGGTCCTCGCTTATCATTCTTGCGCTCGAAATACTCCACCGCCTCGAGCGAATTGCTGGCTCATGGGTAGCTGCAAGTATGAAGACAAGCATGGTCAATTTCAGCACAGATCCGAGCTGGCATAAGTCGATCACCTGGTTCTCCTATTGTAACCAGATATCCGAATCCAAGCCTCAGCCCTAAGCCAAAGCACGAATTGCAGGACACCTGCCTGACACAGCACCGGCCTATGAACCATGGTTCAGGCTTTAAGGCTGAGTCTTCGGAGTCTTAGGAATGAAGACCCAGGATTTGAGGGTTACATCGCAAGCGCCTCCTCCGAGATGATCATGGCCTTCTTGGCATCACCCTGCGCGGAGGGAGTTCACATGAAAGCTTCGACTCTGCCAGAAGATTCCCTAAACCCCCGACCCTTTTCTAAGGTGGAGTATTAAGCTGAGATCTTGTGTTTCTCTCTCTTGTTTTCTTTCCCAGAGCAGCTCCAACGATGGCCAAACGCACATTCTCCTTTAAAAATCACGTGACTCCCACAGTCCCAAGCTGGCCGTGTTCAGAGGGAGGCAGGCTCCATTGAACAGGTTGCCATTTTGGCTTCAGTGTCGCATGTTCGCTGCAAAAAAGGGGGCGGTACATCCACGCCCCTTCTTGTCATGCTTCTCAAATCGCCGCGGAGGCGGCGCTGAGGCGAACCATGGTGTTGGTGCTGTTGCTGTTGCTGTTGCTGTTGCTGTTGCTGTTGCTGTTGCTGTTGCTGTTGCTGTTGTTGTTGCTGTTGCTGTTGTTGTTGTTGTTGCTGTTGATGTTGCTGTTGTTGTTGTTGTTGTGGTTGTTCTTGTTGTTTGTTGTTGTTGTTGCTGTTGTTGTTGTCGTCGTCGTCGTCGTCGTGGTCGTGGTCGTGGTCGTGGTCGTCGTCGTGGTCGTGGTCGTGGTCGTGGTCGTGGTGGTGGTCGTGGTGGTGGTGGTGGTGGTGGTGGTGGTGGTGGTGGTGGTGGTGGTGGTCG